TTTTAAAAGTTTATTAGAACATAAAAAGCAGTAAATATGAGTGATATCTAAAGTTTTATAATTAATATATATTACTTGTTTGTATTACTGTTACTACTTTTATTAAGTAAATTTAGGTTTCAAATTTAAAGTATCTAAAAAGATCCAATTTCCCAATCTGATGGAATAATGGTTTAAATAAACAAGTCATACACCTGCCTATGTGCTGAGAGTCTTTAGCTGCTCTATGTAGTGTTATCCTAAACATTCAATGGACTAAAAAAGGTTAACCTGTAAATTTTTTGCATCAATGAAGTTCTTTCTTACTTAAATATAATAGCAAATTCTGTCCTTAATTTAACAGCAAACTTCTTTTAATAAAATCTTTGAGTTAGTAATGTTAGAGTTCTAGTACTATAGTGCTGCATATGTACCCATCTGGAATAGTATCCCACATATCAAGAATATAATTTATGCAATTTGTAGGTCAATACATATGTACCTGGCGTTAATAGGCCCCTGTTTTAGTAACTGCATAGTGATTATTTTTAGCAATAATAGGCATTTTTTTGATATATAATCAACATCTGTTCAAGAAGTGAAAAAATTTGAGTGCTAGCGCTAGCGATAGTGATAAAAGCAGTGCATCGAAGTGCGTGAAAGTGAATAGCGCTAACGCTAGAGATACCCTTTCACAATCGGTAGAAATTCGTGAACCCAAAAAAGTTAAACCGAAGAAAATCAAATATCAAAAGCAAACGATAAAATCATCAAAAATTAACAAAAAACGCAATCAAGAGTATCACCAAACGCTACTAATTTATTCTAAACGCTAACTTATTTCTGATTACGAGTTCATTTGTAAATCCTCATGTTTATTACTGCAATTGATTCAAATGCATATTCTTATTTTGGTCTATAAGTATATCTAAGATCGTTATTATCTTCACTTAAAAATATCAACTGCGTACGAACTGTTTTATATTCCGTTAATATAATTTCTGTGATTTTTAATTATATTTAACTTTATTACATGTATCAAATAATCTAAGTCTATGTTATTTTCTTTTGATTTGAAATATTTCGTATTCTGTTACTGAGAAATGACCTTCACTTCTAACTCCTTTTTCATATGAACCAAAAGAAGAATAATATTGATTAAAATTATTGAACATGCGAATAGCATCAAAAAATGGACCAAGATTAGGACTACAATAAATTGCATGTACTGGATTTTTTACACGTCTTAAAATAGAGGAAGGAATAGTACCATTTTCAATAAAAAAATAAAGCTATCATTGCAATATAACCAACAAACATTTGATTTATCACATCTTATAGGATTATGACCACCAAGAATTTCATCAGTATTTTTAACTTTCATTACCACAATAGTATTTGCTTGCTTATTACATATTTTCCAAAATGATTCTTTAGTAAAACCATCTTTAGTCCCACGAAGAAGTAGCTTAAATGTATATGGATTGTTTGTTACTGAATATATTTCAGTTTTCTTATCAACCCATGTTGCAATTTCAGCTGCATGCTCATCATTAATTACCATTGAAAATGA